AAGATGCAACCTTTCAAACCTCGTGACCAGTCTGCTGTCATTTTTGCCATAATTTCAAGTCCCCAATTTCTGACCAGACAGTCTTGCATAGTGGCCTCTGGAAAGAACATAACCCAACGTGGACTCTCACATCCTACTTGTCGACATATTTTTAACCACCTCAGCGTGTGGATGATGTCTCATATCTGCAAACTTTAATGCGGGGTGATTTTCAGGTCAGTCACGCTCAACCACCAGCTTTGAAAAACGACACACTATTCATTGATATATTCAGATGTTTTTTTTGGCATCTGCTGAGTTTAAGTGACAGCTGACAGCAGAAACGAATCCCTGACTGACGTTATTAGCATTGAAATGTTCCAGCTTCAGGAAAAGGTGTGATTTCTATTTACAGACTCAATCCTCGACAAGACGTTTCTCTCGCACACCTGTTATGTGCTCCCCTCCTTAACCTCCTCATTCTCTCCTGCTGATGAGCCCCTTCCCCCCCCTTCTGAAACACCTCCCGCTCTCCCGAGCAGGTGTTGGAGGAAGTCATAGTCTAATCAGACAATCTAAACAGTCGCTATCTCACTGCTGATAATGACAGATGCCTGTACACTTCTGAAGAGGTCCAAGACTGTATGGCTTCCAATTTATTTTCCAGCTTTAACAATGCTTCAATAGCCTGCAATACACATTAGATATACAACCTGAGTGTTTGATGTAGTGCCGCAATTAACTCATTTTATTATACATGAATATTTGATTTTTTTTTCAGGAAGGAAGTTCAGTGTTGAATGACTGATTTGAAATTAGTATTAGATTTTTAAAGTTGCACAATTTTTTATTTTTTAAAATAAACTGGATAAAATGACTATATGTAATGCAAAGGGTGTCATTTCTAGTCTTGAAGTCACACAATTATTACCCAACACTGCAGTTTCATTTTAGTTAAAGTAAGCAGCAAGCTTGTATACGTAGTGGAGCATTTAGCTGCTAAAAACTGGTGGTGGAGACCAAAAATGGAGCTTAAAGAAGAGTTTGCATTGGAACTTTTTACCAGATGGCAGAAACATCACTCTAATGGAAGGCTTCATACAGTGGTAATATGTCCTGTTTGCAGCTTGATGTTTAAAAAAAATGTTACTGCATCTTTAAGTTTTTTTGTTGCATACCAAAAAACGAGACATCTTATCTATTGATACATAAATTACACATGTGCATACTAAAATAACAAATGAATGAATGCATGCTCTACACTATAGCACTATAGTCTCACTATTATGCCCATTATGTAGTGTAGAATGGTGTCGCTGCACCTCACTATTATTCTCCCATAGGGGGTTGGCTTATTTGTGTTTCTTTAAGCCAAACACAATCTAATACACGGCGCGATGTGAAGGATACAGCATTGGCGTTCCCTCAAACTGTTGACGGGAAATTTGTTTAAGGCTAATTCACCAAAAGAAATCTAGTAGGGCTGCCTTACTGCAAGACTTGGAATTTTCAGTGTGTCATTTGGTGTGCTGCTTAAAGGTTGTTGTTTGTGGTGGTGAATGGGATTTTCAGATTGGCAACACATAGGTAGTGGAAGGGGAGTAAAAAGTCATGTGTAATACGCAGCCAGTTAGCTGTAATCTACATCTGGTAAATCAGACTAGTGTGGCTCAGATACAGCAAAGAATGGAAGAGGGATATTTTTTTTTCTTAATAGAAAATCAGAAGTGAAATACGATGTTCCCAGAGCCAAAGGCAACATTTTCAAGTCTTCTTTTGTCCAACACACAGAAATATTGAATGTACATGGAGATAAAACAGCAGAAACTCCTGAGAAGCTGAAATTAGTGTTTGGCATTTTCTGCAGTCATCAAAATCATTGCCACACTACAAACTAATACAAGAGACCTGATCCCACCAGCTATCTAAACGCATGGTGGCAAGATAGAAATTCTAATTTATTGATATACAACAAACATCTTAGGCTGCAAACATTATTTTGATGGGTTGTGTTGACATCATAAAGTCAGCAACTGCATCAACTTCATGTTACTTTAATAATAGTTTCTTTAAAACTAAATTCAAGTTGAGGTAACTTAATAAAATAGACTTGACGACTATAGTTTTCTTGACTTTGAGGTCAGGATTTCAGGTAATTAAGTCCATAACACCTAAGAATTCCTTTTAAATAATGTTGAAAAAGTAGTTGGAACAACTTAATTAATACAATTTTGGCAACTTAAAAACTTTAAAACATGTTCATAATTAATGACACTGTGAAATACATTTTAAATACCATTGAAATACCAATTGGAACAACTTGATTTTATCAGTAAATAACTTCAATGCTTGTGTTTATGCTACCAATTACTTAAGTAGGCATGATTCAATCATCAAGTGGTGATTAACAACACTCTTCTATTGTAGAGGAAAAGCTAATTACTCAGCATAGTTTTTTGTTTGAACATAATTTCATTAGAAGTTGTCATAACTCAATAAAAACTGTTTCAGTCTAAACATCAGCTTGCAGTAAATTAATCTACTAACCCATTTATAGTCTTTTTTTAAGAGTAGAACAAACACTTGCTCCTAATTAGCAGAGTATTGTTTAAACTCTGTGACTTTGCCGGTGCGGCTCGAGCGGCTCTGGGGATCAGTGCAGAGTGCTAACATATATATACCTTCCGTCCCTGTGATTTAAACTAACACTCCTGCCTCGCAGCGCAGCACAAAGGAGCCAGCAAACTCATTGTACAATTCCCAAGAAAGCCACCCACAGACATTTATACAGCAAGACTGGCGACCAGCAGCTCCACTGTGTTTCAGAACTCACTTGGAAGGCGGACAGTTTGTGCTGCTACGCCAAGGACAGGAAGTGCTTGCAGAGGGACAGGAAGTGCTCACCGCTGCAGTAGCCGAGGCTGGAACTGAGATAATGCCATTGTGTAAGCAAGCCAAGTGACCTCTCCCTGAGCGCAGAGTCCAGAGGCTGGCGTCGAGAGCCCTGGCCCCCACCCAGCCCCAGACTCCCCAGGCACGGGGTGGGGGACTCGGTGGAGGGGCAGTGGGAGGAATGGAGCGAGGAGGGAGGCGGGGGGCGAGTTTGAGGCGTGTCACCTCTCCGTATCCCCCCCACCTCCTCCTCTGGGTTGACTCTGAACCTCACCTTGTAGAGGAAATGTGGCTGCGACTCCAGACTTTATGACTTCTCGCATCAAAAGCCAGGATTTTTCACTCCCACACGGAGCGGGAGGCAGCCAGGCAGCACACTCATACCCACGCCCATGTCAACACACGCATTCACAGGACACAAACACACACACACACACACAGGGTCCGTCTTTCTCTGAGGATTGGAGGAGGAGGGGGGAAATCCTATCAGGTCATCAGCGGTAAAATAGACGATGACAGTATTATAGTCCAGATCCTGTCCCATGCCGGGGCCTGGCTGGATCTCCATCCAAAACTCCCACCAACCCCCAGAGGGTCACCCGGCGTGCTCTGGAGTCCCCGCTGGTGTCTGCTCGGGCCACGCAAAGGTTGCATAAGCATCTCTCATATTTCTGTCAGCCCCTTTTGACGTGTCGGAGAGACCGTAGACCACAACGAGATGGGAACGGTCCGAGAAGAGATGGAGCTGACAGGTCGGGGTCTGCTGGCTCTGATAAGGAGCCGTGCAGCCTGCGTGTGATGTTTGGATTTCTGGCCACAAATAGGGGCTTCATTCTCTGCTACATAAACAAGTCTGAATATTGGAGGTGCAACAGGTTGCTTTAACCTTTTCCCTCCTACTATTATCCTGGTCCGGGACAGCTGCTCCAAAAACACGGAAACGCATTCTGTGGCTTGCACGCGTGTCATGAGAGTTAATAAAGTTTATATTTGACTACTGGCTGATGTCATCTACATATATCCAAAGGGCTGCTGCTCAGTGAAGCATGCCAAAAGTTTCACCTCAAGCTCAGTGTGAAACTTCAGGTCTCGTGGAGGGAGATTTAGGGGGCAAATATAGACCAAAGTATATTTTTTGTGTCATGAATGAGCGTTATTTTTAACTTTTCAAACTCGCACAAAGGATTATAACGTGCACAGTGAGCTGAATGCACATCTAGTGAGGTAAAAGTAATTTGTGTAAGACATAATAGTTGAGATATTTTAGGTGAAATGTGCCTTAAAGCTTTGTGGGAGTTGATGAAAGAGGTATAATAGCTGAAAAGGAGAGCTAATAAAACGCCTTTCATGTAAAATAAGCAAAGATTATCCTCATCAGTGCCTAAGAAAAATGTGATTGAGAGTCTTAATACTTATTCGTTTAGTTGTTGATTTGGCTAATTCACTCCCAAACAGACGTCTACACGGACAAAGATAGTTTATCCACATTAGGAGGCACAGTTTTGGCACAGTCTGGCACAAAAGCGCACCAGTATCACACCGTTCTCCAGTTTTTGTCGGCGCCTGTCTCTTCTTTATTTAAACTTTCTCCACTTGTGTTGATTTCACTCTTAGAAAACTCAAATGCTCAATTAACGCCTTTTGTCTAGCGCTTCACATTAAGCCGCAATCACAGAGTCTCCATCGAGACGACCGTGCGTAAAAGTTGCGAACAGGGGAGCCATTAAGTCCACGCGTAAACCTGATACTCAAGACTAACAGTTCTCGGCCCAATACACAAACTGATGAACGAGTGTCCGAGAATCACAGAGGGATAACACTGAGGTGAGAGTTAAAGCGTTAGTGTGGATGAAAGAGTTTTACGCTCCAAAAGCAGATAAAGTGACGCGATGAAAACGCCGCACTAAAGCTCAGAGCAGTATTTAATTTCCCTCCAGAACTCATAATCTTCTTATACCTATTTGAAATCTCGCTGCTTCTTCCTTCAGAGGGTCTCATTCCTCCAAACAAGGGTCGGAGGCGGGCAGCTCTGAACTTTTTTGCACCTTCGTAGTAGTGGGCACTCCCTCCACACGGTGATTGGCTGCCTGCGCGTTTATAGCGCACCAACATTCACATTCACTGCTGAGTAGTCGCTATGTTTCAGTCCATGCGGCTCCTGGAAGTAGCTAATGGATGTGACTTTTTCATTCCAGCCTGAAAGCCAGAAACGTTGATTTTTTATTTTTTTCGTGATACGTTTTTTTGTTGTTTTTTTTATTTTTATTTTCATCTCCAGGCTGTGATCGTGTGTTGTCGCCTCTGCGAGCTGTCCGGTGGCTCTCCAACCCTCCCAGCTGGACAGAGATGAGTAGTCCCGATGCGGGTTACGCCAGCGACGATCAGACCCAGGCAAGGTGTACGATGTCAGTCATGATGCCTGGAATGGGACACTGCCAGTGGGCCGACCCTCTCAGTCCTCTTGGGGACACCAAAGTGAAAAACGAGCCGTGCGCGTCCGGCTCCGGCGGCCAGAATCGCGGGAAGAGCGAACCGCGGATCCGGCGGCCCATGAACGCGTTCATGGTCTGGGCGAAGGATGAGCGCAAGAGGCTGGCGCAGCAAAACCCGGACCTGCACAACGCCGAGCTGAGCAAAATGCTGGGTAAGTGAATTTATAGTGCATTTAAACCTATTTACTAGATCTATGCGGATTATTTCCCTCCCTACTGTTTCTCAATTTTATATATTTTTGGTTGTATATCAAGTGGATTTTACTGTGTTCCTCCTCTACAACTGTAAATGTTTGATGCAGTGAGTAGTTGAGCAGCAGGTGAAGTGTTTTCCAAAGTTTGTCTCAGTTAAGCATCAGATGTAACCTCAAAAACCTGTCCCTGCCCCCTAAAATGGCAACAGGCTATTTTTGAGTGCATCACCAGGCTGCATACAGTATCTGCTGACATATCAACTGATGTGCACTCTCCTCTTGACCTGCAGGGAAATCGTGGAAAGCCCTTCCTGTCACAGAGAAGCAGCCCTTTGTGGAGGAGGCCGAGCGGCTGCGGGTTCAGCACATGCAGGATCACCCCAACTACAAGTACCGGCCCCGGCGGCGGAAGCAGGTGAAGAGGATTAAGAGGCTGGACTCCGGCTTTCTGGTCCCCGACCACCAGGCCCAGTCGATGCCCGGGGACGGCAGAGTGTGCGTGGAGAACCTGGGCCTCGGCTACCACGAGCACGGCTTCCAGGTTCCCCCGCAGCCGCTCAGCCACTACAGGGATGCTCAGGGACTCGGGGGCCCCTCTTATGAGACCTACAGCCTCCCCACGCCCGACACTTCTCCCCTGGACGCTGTGGAGTCAGACTCCATGTTCTTTCCTCCACACTCGCAGGAGGACTGCCACATGATGCCGGCGTACTCGTACCACTCTCAGGCAGCAGAGTACCAGCCCCAGGACCCCCTGTCCAACTCCATCCTGCACCGGCACCCAGGATCGGCTCCGGAGCAGCCACCACCTCAGCCTGCCACCCTGCCCCCCTCCTACATGGGATGCCCCAACCCTCTGGCCATGTATTACACCCAGCACTGCAGCCCCGGCCACCCCAAGCGGCACCCCGGTGGGGCAGGACAGCTCTCCCCACCGCCTGACTCCCACCCTCACCCCGCAGACAGCGTGGAGCAGATGCACCACTCCGAGCTGCTGGCCGAGGTGGACCGCAGCGAGTTCGAGCAGTATTTGAGTTCCTCTGCGGCGCGTGCGGACATGGCAGGCTTGCCGTACGGGCCACATGAGGCTGGCATGCAAGGACCTGAAAGCCTCATATCATCGGTGCTGTCAGACGCCAGCACAGCTGTCTATTACTGTAGCTACAACAACTCCTAACCTCCTGCCCGGCCTGCTGCAAGGACACATGATCTGACCTCAAATCTCTGTAGCTAAATTTGAACAAAAAGAAAAAAAAAAAAAAGTTTTTATTTTTCACTACTGACACAAGAGGCTGGAGAGATTTTGAACTTTGACTTTGTACTGTATCATGTAGGAGCAGTGAATAAAGCCATAGAATATTTTAATATGAACACTGGTTTCTCTTCCTCTCAGTTCATTTTGTGATAATAAATATTGTACAGCCACTATTTTAAAGTTTATGTACATACCGCAGTGTTGTTGTTTTTTTATACTTTTTGCACTTTTGAGAAATAAATGTTTGCAAATAAGTCTGTTTCTGTCTTGTGTTTATTGTTGAAATATGAAACTTTCTCTCGCATCAGCTTCGGGATGGGCTTAAAAACAGAAATGATCCAATAGCCAAATGGAAAAATGACAACTTCTGGAGCACAAATTGACTTTTCCAGATGCCACCAGCGTTACTGTTCATTCAGTGGTTTGTTTTTCCTACTCCCACATGGAGCTGAATGGGCTCCCGGCAGCAGCGGTTGCTCACCTGGAAGCGGGGCAGCGGAGTTCTGCGACCCGGCTTCCTGGCCTCGGACGGAGTGGAGGTAATCTGTGTGTCTGCGTTACACATGGCGCCTTGTTTTCGCAGCATGGGAGCGCAGTTTATGCTCCGGACATCCTGCCTGTAAATGATTTAGTCTCTTCTGATTAATGGTAGGGGGCCATTAAAATTCAGCAGGTTCCACTACACCTCCATTAAACAATGGTGACGCTTCACTCTTGCGTGTTTTCACAACAGAACGCGAGGTTTTAACATCGATATCCATCCTCCAGCTGTGCACAATAACACGCCGATGACATCAGGTTTTATTTCTGCCGGTATACCGAATGGCTACGATATATTTATCCCCTTAATACCCGTCTGTTGCTTCGACATGAATCAAACTTATCAGGCAAAAATCTTTAAGAGATCAGGCCCAACCTTGAGGATAATTCAGTGTATTTATATCCCTGAAACAGTCCCGTTTTATAAATAGAGGTTTTCCCCCTATTTTAAAAGGAAGAGGTTCTTCTCCGAGGGGTCAATCACCCTGACCTCGCCGTCCATTTTTAGCGCTTCAGAGGAAACATGTTCCAGAGGTGTATATATTTATGCGCTTTGTTCATGCTGAATGTTTTAAAATATTCTCTTATGTCGAAGCAGACATGGAGGTAAATACGGCCGGCTCTTCCCACGCTAATGATGTTAGAAAAACTCCTCTTTGTGTCCACTTTTTCTGAGTGTTTCGGATCCAAATAAATAAGTGGAAGGCGCTGCTACGTGTTTTCACTTCCTTTCTCTCGCGCATTATTCGCCTTCGGGCCGTGCAGGAGAATCCACTGTAATTGGCGCGAATGTGTTTAAATTCAGTCTGAGGCTGAGTGGCAGGTTTATCCTCACTGTTGTTACAGCTAATGGCTGCATAACAACAGGCTCAGGCCACGATCCCCACCCTCGAGGCATCAGCCGAGTGGGTGGTGGTCACCTGCACGGACTTAGGGGGGAGGCAGACCCCCCACGTCACCCGTGATATTATCTCCACGCGCTAATTGATCCGGGGCTAATTGAGGAGGAAGAGCTCGGGGAGTGAACGTGACAATTTAAGGTTTATCTCAAGATATGGATATGCTGGAGACGTCAGGTTTCTTTGCTTGTTTTGTTTCTTTTCTGTTGAGTTTAAGTCGTTTAACCCAAAAACAAAATACATTATCAGACATGATTTTTAAAAAAACTAAAACAAAAACATGTAAAATGTGCAGCTGAACTTACATGAGTTGTTATATTTACATCTTGTATTGAGTCTTTTATTATTGTGAGTACTTTTATACAGATTTCACGTGACATTTTATATGTTTTCTACTTGATACAGCACAATAAGGTGTCATCCACATAGATATGGTATATTTATATGCAAAACATACTTATGCATCTACTGATTATACACAATTTTCTTTGCATTTTTTAAAATATAGTTTAACACACATGGGATAATGAGCACTTCTTTAAATATCTTTATATCAGAGGCGTTTGTATGGAGCAGCAGCACCAAGAAGTTTCCAGACAAAAGCAAGAAATTCAGCAATAGCTAAAAAGAGCTCAGCTCAAAGCTCAGGAAATCAGGGCTTTCATGGCGTTCCCTTTGCTGCAGTGTGAGCGTGTGTGCATGCAGGTGTGTTTGTGTACCAGTGTGTGTGTGTGTGTGTCCTGGGGCTTCGCTGCCAGCAGTCTGCAGAGAGTCGACCAGAGATTACAGCAGCACGGCCGGCTACATTAACACAGCAGCACTTAATCATGGCACTGCCCTAATCTCATCTCAGGTAGCTGCCTTTCACAAACACAGCCTCATTTGCCCACAAACTCGGCCGCAATTAAATTCAACAAGCCGGCAAGATCAGCTGTATTTGAATAAACAGAGAGAAGTTCGGCGAGGAGGTTTTAGGAGTCATTACGGTGTCACGACAGCCCCGGATGAGTGTATTGAACAAACAGGTAGAGATAATTCACCTCTTGATGAGCAGAATCCAGGTGCAGGCAATTATCTCTACATGATGTGTAACGTTACACCACTCAGGAACAAGAATGGGTTTTAATTCTGGATGTTTGGATTGTACAAAAAACTGGCCTTTGGTTCATAACAAGATTAGTGATTAGACAAATATTTGACTGATTGATTATTAGGTGGAAAGAAAATGAATTCACAAGAGCTTCGAGCACTTATTTATGGTTCCACTCTTTAAGACACAAAGGGTTTAAACATGAGAAGTGCCTCAGTATGAGTTCATAAAAGAACTACGCTAGTTATTTAGAGATATTTATAAGACGTTATAGGAGCAATGAGTGGGTTGCCAGGTTGTGAAAAATGATTTTGACTGTATCCTGTGAAAAAAAGGCTGCAGAGGATCGAGACTAAAAGCAGTTTGTTGAGGGTTTAACAACATTTTTTAGCTGAATTATTGTTAAAACTAAGAAGGTTTTTCACCACCTGACAAGTTTCTTATATCTCATCTATAATGAGTAAGTAAATTAACAATTAATAAGTCCTCAGGTACAACTTGTAAACCTTTTATACATAATGCTTTATTCGAAAATGAGATTTTTATGGCGTTTATAGAGAAAAAAATTACAAAAACTGTTGTTTCTCTGTGATATTTTTAATGTTTTTAACTTCAGTCAGATCAAACAAGCTTAACTTTGGGAGCTCCTAGTGGTACTTTTAAACTATTTCCCAGCATTTTGTGATGATAAAAATGCCTGGAAATCAATCAATCAGCTGTAAGAAGATTAATCAGCACTGAAACAACGTTTAGTTTCAGTCTGAGCCTCGGGTAACTCACATTTTTTGCAAAAAGGGGAAAAGCAAAAGCTGCTTATTTTCACAGTTCTGCAAAAATAAAAGCAAATAAGCATATAAAGTGTAAATAAAACCACGTTAAAATCCCACTTTAAAACGCATATCAGTGATTTGAATGTGCTCCCGCAGTAAGGCACAGGATTTAAACAAGACTCCTGGTGGACAGCAACAAACAGAGAGGGCCCAAACTGATTAAGTCATTGATAGTAGATTGCGAATACAGCATGTGAGACAGCTGCAGGAGAGGGTGTGTGCCTCGTCTAAAGCAGGGCTGGTTGCTCATAATCCCAGGCATATGCTGTCCCTCTCTGGCCTGATCGCTTTTATGGTCTCTGCCTGTCACACCACCGTCCAGTTGTGCTCCCACTATATATAGTTTCACAGATACAGTCAATCTCCACACAACGCTGTGGCTCAATACTTTTGTTTTTTTTTTTTTTCTTTCTTCTGATTCCAGACCCTGCTTTTGTCACACGTTGGGTTATAAATAGTTTTCTTGCGAATCGATAAATTGCACAGGTATCTTCACTTGTTTTTTTTTTTCTTCTCCTTTTTGCGTCAAGACGTCAGCTGCCGTGTCAAAATTCACACGGATCATTCGCAAACGAGTTTTGAAGTATATTTATTGCGAGGCTGCAATGCGGCATTAACAGGTGTAACAGCTTTGTGCAATTCTTGTTTTCTTTTCTTGTGAAGACGTTAACCCTTTTACATGTCGCTGGAATTGTTAAGATCTGAAGTTTCCGACTGTTGTTAGTCGACTTTACTGTGCCGTGCAGGTAAAAGTGCTCATCGAACACGGACGAAGGTGAAAAACACAACTCAGATTTGTAAATTATCATCCAAATTGGACAAACCGAACAAAAATTAAAGACATTTCACTAGAAATGAGCAAGTAAAGGAGGCACATATCACGTACAGATCTTTGACCTTAAGTGGTTTGGAGCTGTTTTTATGTGAGTAATTTCCATTTGTCTACAGAAATACAAGGTGCAGGCCTGTAAGACTATTCATGAAAAGTTAATTCTGTTTTATGTAATTCTGTAGCAGTCCAGTATCTCTGTAATGTATGAAACATTATAGCTTTATGCACACAACAGTGATAAATAGGAAAAATAGAATAAACAAAAGGTGCTTCAGAACAGAGTGTATGCAGCTGTAATAAAGTGTTGCAGCACAAATTTGTACAACAACACAAACAGAAGCGAGGACTGATTATAAAACGGCGCTTTGCTGCCAGGGAACATTTTTCAAGCTGGCTGGCACATTTGTTTCACAGTCAGGAATTGACTCAGGGAGCTGAATCAACTCCAGGCCTCTCCTGATCAGCTCAGCACTCTCCGTTCTTTTGTTTGAATCCCCTCGTGGCATTCAGGACAATTTTTAGCTCGTGTCCAGGCGGGTACTGAGTATAAGATGACTACATCAGCAGTCAGTTTCCTCTCCGCTGTGTTTTTCTTTGGGAGGCTAAAAGGTGTTGGCGGAGTACAGCCACACTTTGCTCTCTTCAAAGTTTTCTGTCCTCTTGTTACAGGATTCCCTGTTGGCTCTGGACCTCGTTTCTTCGGAAGCTTGTAAGGAAAGGGAGCAAATGCTGGTAGTAACAAAGAGCATTGTGCAATGTGACTAACTCACCATCATTAATGACTAACTTCAGTTTACAACCAGTGCTGAGGAAAAAGGAAAAAGGAAAGTAACAGCAACTACTCACACATTAGGTAACAAGTAATGATCGAGAAATGGATGCAACATGACTAACCTTTGTGGATAAACTGTTCAGTATATCTAAAAGTAATAGATATACAGCTGAAACAATTAGCTTAACGTAATGGATGAAGCTGTGAAACAGCTTAAATTTAAATAATTGATAAATGTGTTAATAGTTAGCATTAGCTAATGGATACTTGTTTTACATCGCTAGCTGAGCA